TTGGTGAACTCCAGCGTTTTCCTGCGCCCGCCCTCAAGAAACCGACTTGACTGGCAGTTTGCTGAGTGCGAGGACGCGATGGGCAGGCCTCACGCATGGCTGAAGGGACTCGTGTAGGTATTGTCGTCCTGGCAGTCGAGCTCTCCTTCGGTGAACTGGGCATCCCCGCTCGTGGAAGTTGATAGCTTTGCAGCGCCCGGTCTGCCTCCCTCTTGTTAGCAGTTTCATTGCGAGCGGAAGCTTGCGAGTCCCATAACCACAGGGCGTTTGACTTCAGCTGAGCAAGATGTTCGCGAGAAAAGTGTGAATCTTCGGTGACTTCTCGTCGTTTAGCAGCTGAGCTTCTTTCTCCCAGCACCAAGGAGTAGGCATTCACCGTGCGCTCATCCGACAGAGGTATATCAGAAAAGTTTCGGAAGCTTGCCCGGTACTCGGAGAGGTAACGCTTAGCCTGATAGGGTTCGATGTAGTTGGTTGAGTAGCTGCGTTCGGGAGACTTTCGTTCGGTCTCTTCGGTGCGGTGCGGTTTTTGCTTATAAGCCAAACCTGCTGAATGTGGTCGACGTGACCGGGATGGCGCACGCACTGGTTTCTGTGGTTGAGCGCTGTGTTCTTTTGAGGGAGCTTGTTTTGTGATTTCGTTGTGTTGGACCGATTCGTCAGCATGTGAGCGACAAGGATGAGCTGGTCGAGCATACAAGTAGTTTGGAGGGGGACTGTAGGCCCTCTGGTACTCAGTCTGAACAGCCGCTTGCGGCGCCGTCCTCGGCCGACTAATAAGTGCAGTTGGAGGTCGTTCTTTTTGTTGTTGCTGTTCTCGTTTTCTTTGTTGTTCTTGCTGCTGCTGCTTCTGCTTCTGCCGCTGTTCAATTCGTGAAGTCGTATGCGTCTGCGTTAGTTCGTCTTTCGTCGTCCCATTTGTATGTTTTTGAGCTGCTCTTGGTGCCTTGGCTGCCGCGGGCATCGGCCTTTCTGTGGAATCCGGTGGTAGATCAAGCCGGATTTCGGGCCACTGCTCCACGGGTCGCTTTTTGTGGTGCGCATGACACCGCGTGTGCGATCTGTGCACTTTATGCGGCCTGGCTGCTGCTTTTGCGGGGGAGCATTCCCTAGGCACGTGTTTGACTGGCAGCTTGCAGCAACTAGCATCATCCTCTGGTGGCAGATT